ATATTATGCTTTTTGTATAAGCTGATAATTGTGACATGTTTTATAAAGATTATTGGATATGCTGCAATGTCTTTGGTAATTTGGTATGTTAAATATACTTTATTATACACATAGTTTGAAAATTATATAAGATATTTTCGCGAAATGAGAGTTAATTTATGAACAAAATCGAACATTTTCCAAACAGCATAAACTTGGTAAGCAACATAATTATAAATGAAATTATTTTTGTGCAGTAACATGGTAAGCCACTTTAAATTCAAAAAATTATATCTCTCGAGATTTTGGCCAAAATAATTTTTTCTTAGTAGAATGATACTTGTCTTACCTTGTTATATCACAACAAGATAAAAAATTATCAATTCCGCTTTTATCTTCATCATTATAAAGGACTTTGTTAAAAAGTGTAAAAAATATATGTGGCATATAGAGTTGAAATAAAATGAAAATGAAGGGCATGACTCTTATATCGCCAATTTACCATAACATCTAAAAATCTTTTTAGGGACAATAGATATGGTTCCTAGCAACTCAAAAGCACATAAAAACGAATTATGATGGTGGGTGGCTTATCGAGTTACTGCATAAGCCCTTCAATTATAAATTAGTTTATTAAAATTTAAAAAATACTTACTTTTTCATGTTCTTTATTCATTTTCTTTTATTTATTTTTTTTAAAAAATTTTATTTCAAAGCAAAAGAGCTGTTTTGTTTATGTTTGTCATACGAAAATAGAGCACGCTCTAATCGAAAAATTACATATGTATTTCCACATGTATTATACATATGCAATTTTTCATATGTATCAGACGATATGTACAACTTTTACAGATGGAAATTTTGACAGTACATATGGGCATTTCCATCGTGACGAAAGTGACGGTCGTACGTTTTAAAGAGATGAAAAATATATATACATACAGTGAATCAACTAAGTTTTTTGCCTACCTTTTTTTAAGAGAATTTTGTTTTTTGTACATAAATAAAATTCAAAAAACAGGTAAAAAGTAAATTTATGTTTTCCAATTGAAAATAGAGATTGTGTATAATGGGAAAACCAAGAAAAATATATTAAAATAAAAATTTTAGTGCATTTGTTATTGCATTTTATTATTTTTCATCAGAATTTGCACGTCAATAAAGTATTTTGCATATTGAAATTTCCAGTTAATTTCGTTGGGTTTTTCAAATTATTTTTTAATTGCTTTTGGAATTTATTGTTTTATTGTTAAAAGGACACGTGTTAAGTATTTTTCAATTGTAATTTTAAAAAATCATATCCTTATTGTGTCAAACTGTGTAGTTATTTGCGTTAAAAATGTTTAAAGGACAATTCCAATATAAAAAATTAGTTTAGATCAATGAAATTCAATTATGAGATGTTTAATCAATCATTAAAAAATATAAAATATAGAAATTGATGAAATAACACAAAGAATATTTAAAAAAACGCACTGAGTTGTCTTTAAAAATCTTTAACTGCCAAAGGAGAGCGACTTGTATCCAAGCAAGAACCATTGAAGTCCTCATTTATCTTCTCCAAAGTCCATATACGAAATTAAAAGAACACTATGTTTAAATTTAGACCCCTAAACAGACCTTAGGTTGCTTGGAAACAATATAAAGTGAATTATCGTGTGGTACGGGAAAAATACTTAATACTTATTTACAAATAGAGGCGGTTCTCATCACCTAAGATCCACAAAAGCAATATTTTTCAGCTAAAACATACACTTATATATAGTTAGAACCCAAATCAAGAATAACTATCCAAATCCAGCTACGCCTACTGTATTTTATTCATAAAATAATGCATTCAAAATATGAGGTAGAATATCAAAATTCTAGCATGTAATAGTTCTATAATGGTATACGGTGATATCCCCATACTTAGAGTGGCTAGGGTGGTACTTAGTGTTAGCTTTATTGAATAAGAATCAATATTATACAATTCTAAATAAAATTCACACAGTACTCCCCAAATAGATGGGGTTTCCGCAATGTAGTTTTTGTTTATCAATACAAAATGACCAAAAACCCAGATTATTTTTGTTATAATCTATAGATTTATACCCCACTAATATTTTTTTCTAGGTCCAAATCTATTGATTTCCTAATTCAAATTCAAAATTACTTATTATTTTCGAAATTAAATCAAAGAAACGATAGATTTCATGTTAAGTCAAATATTGAAAAATTCTTATAGGTATATAAGATAATAAATCGGTTAAGAAATGTCCAAACTTGGTCGTTCCACTACTAAAATATCTAAAAAATTTTATTCTAATATATAGGAGTAATAAAAATATTAAATTTTATAAAATAATGCAGCAATATTAAAAAAATGAACAAAATACCTAAAAAAGCAAAATACTTTATTGACCTTAAAAATTAACAATACGTTCACATTTTATCAAAAATCTCGTTAATTTATATCACGATTTTACTTTTTATGGTAGAAAATTAAAATATAAGATATTCTTTAAAAAATACAACAAGCAAATTGCTTTATTTTGCTAAACATAATTGTTCAGATAAAGTTTTTTCTTAAAATGTATAAAATTTTACATAGGCAAATTACTTAATTGATTCACTGTATATATTTTTTAAAAATTCTTGTATTTTTATATAGGGCTTCAATAGCTCTATAACTGGTCGGAAGAAGAAATTGAAAGATCTTAATGGCCCTAAGATATAAGTAGTTAAAGTGCGTAACGTGATGTGACAGAAATAGAAGTTGCTTATTTCTTTTTTGACAAAAATGTAAAAATCTGCGAGTTTCACCTGGCTATTTGGTTAAAACCTTTTTTATTGTAATTTGGAATATTTATTGATTGTTTTTCAGTTTTTAGAGCTAAAAAATTGTTTTCAGATTTTTTTGTACAAGCCGTTATGTGTGACGTGACGTGACATGACGTGATGTGACAAAAATTTCCAATGATGAAATTTGCAATATTATTGAAAATTAATTAGTCCATAGATTTATTTTGGACGGACATTGTTGAAAGTTTTTGAAATCGGAGAAATATTTCGACTATTTAATAACATTTTAGTTGAAAATAGCTCCCGTATAAGAATAATATAAGAATTAACATTAATTAACTTTTAAAAATGCTTATATCACCATAAAATTTAGCACAAATAATTTTGACATACACAAAATCGTTCATCCTAATTTTTTTAAAAATTGGTCCATGATTAGTCATAGCTTCCATACAAAGCCCACATTTGATATACCCATAAACTTGGATATATAACTAAAATTTCGCCATCCTGATAATACAAACACACAAAAAACTTTCAAATGTATAACTACTGACCCTTCTGATGATAATACAATAATCGGTCATAACGCCCATATAAAGCCGATACCGAAAATCACCTTTTTCCATAAATTTCTTAAAAATATCATTTGTTGAATTTCTATGCTTTTTCTTCCACTTATCAACTAAAAAATCATAACTATCACCTAATTGAATAAACTGCATAAATATCACATCTTTTTAAATAACAATATTTTACAATTCGAAGGTTGCACTTGAGAAAATTTATGTAATGTGACGTGACGTGACAGACTTTGAAATTCTATAAAAAATAACCCCGCTTAGAATTATTTTTTTTTTTTCTATTAAAAGTTTTGAATACTTCTGAATGCCAACTAAAAAGTTATCAGGATAAATCCTGTTTCAACGTGAGGAACGTGACATTTAAAAGTCTATGAAAGAAAATCGAAAATTTGCCTTTTAAGGATCTTTATCTTTTTATATTTGTATGTTTTAAGATAACTATTATTCCAACAAATATTTTCCGATAAAAGTCCATTTAAATATTAGCCTTTAAAATAATAAAAACTATTAAAAGCAAATGCTACTAAAGGTGCAAAAATATGCCTGAAATATTATTGTAACGTTTAATTCTGATTTCTCATCATAGTGGTTAAGAAAAGCTTTGGGGTCTTTAATTTAATAAAATTTGAATCTTTTTCTATAATAATAGAAGTTGAAATATTATTTTTGATAATTTTAAGTTTTTGAGCCACGGTGGACTTTTCGGTGGAAATGTCCATATGTAAAATTCATGTCGTCTAATACCACTTTAATTATAACATCATACAACACATAGAGGTATATGCATATAAAAAATACTCGTTTGAAATTGTAATTCCTTTAAGACTTGATTATAAAAATCGGAGTACATAGAATTACTAAAAATGGAATCTAGTTTCACATGCATATTAACTTTTCTATGTGTGAAAGCTTTTTTTCATGATTGTTACAGGTTGTAAAAATACCATTTTTAACAACGCTAGAATCTAATGCTGATTTCATACATCTTTGAAATATTCTAACGAGTAAACCGTCATACGTGCACTTTATCTTTAATATAAAAAAACCTGCAAACCTTCTACGATGTTACATCTCATAAAATTTGAAAACTTTTTGTTTTATTTTCGTACAAAATCTTGGAAAAATTGGATTGATGCCAATTAAAGGCAAAGTCTGTGTTTAAATCATTGTTTCTATAGGTCTTTTTCAGTATATCTATGGTGTAAATTTGTAATTCTTTCTTTTTAGCATTATCAAAAATTAAAAAAGCTCCAGTGATGAGGGATTCTGTATGTACTTACTAAACGATTTCAGGGCTTAGTGTTCCTTTCAGGTCGGAATATTAACATAATAGAAACGTATTCACAAATAAAAACTAAATATAATTTTGAAAGTTTCTACATTAAATTCTAGAAAAAGTTCATTTAAAATGAATAAATTGAAAAATAATTCAAAAAGAAAAAGAATGAATTTTAAATGAAAAAATTTTTATTGAAATTTTTGAACATAATTTAATTTAATTTGAAAATCTTGTAATTTGTAAGGAAATATCTTTAATTTGAAGCTTAAAACCTTAAAACCTATATATATATTTATATACATACATATAAAATGAATATATTTTTTAAAGTTCCATATTTATTTAAGGGTGTGGTACATCAACATAAAACTTACCGAATAAGCTACTGTATTTTTAATATCCTTTAACGAAATAATATGTGTCTTGGCCAGAGTTAGAAGACAATATCAGCAACACATTCCACAATATTGTACGCTTTAAGATACCTATTTTAAGTAATACCTATTAGTCATCAGATTATTCACTATTTCAATGGATATCCAAATATAACTTTATAAAAGCTAAATATAGCTTAAATAGATTGATTAAATCCACAAGACAAATCTGCAAATTAATAGGTCAAACATGCGCCGAAATATAACACAAATATTTAGGAATATGTCTTTATATTGGGTATATTCAAACAGTCCACAAAAAGGTGTGTTAATTTATGCATTTAAATTTAAAATTGTGTATCATTAGCAGTTGCTAAATTACTGAATTTAAATGGGTATCACGATACTAGTCAATTTACACAAAATTTACGTACATTCATATATACATATATTAATGTAAATACTTCACAGATTTAACATAAATTTGAATCCTTATAATGCAAATAATTAGAAACATTTTTAGTTTTGCGCTCACATTAAGTACAGTTTTATAGTACGAACATAATAACAAACGCGGCTTATATCGTCAATGCAAAATTTCAATAAAAACTATAAAAACGGGATAATTTATGTTATTATGTTTTAGAAGGATAATGTTCCATTTCACTGTGCCAACTGTCAACAAAACTACAAGGAAACGAAATAGATGGAAGTAATTCAGAGATGCCAAATGTTTATTTTAGTAAGCTGTCTACACGTAACACAATATCGAACAGTTTTGTATAACAACGAGAATATTGTGCAGTCCTTTTATTTAATCGTTCCATTAACCTTTTGGAAGAAATCTAATTTACCAAAGCTTGTGGCACAAAGTATACAGAGGTGTCATTTTTGACAGTTCAAAAACACTAAAATCGGCTTTTTTGAAATGGTCTCGGTAGACAGAGAAAACTAATTTTTGAGTTTAATACACACAGTGCGTTAAAACAAACAACACTATATAAGGCTATTTTGTAAACAGAACAACAAAGCAAAACAAAATAAACAAAATTAAACTAAATTTTGCGCAAAATTTTAAAAAGTTTTAATTGCATATAAATTATGTGTTTTATTTATATATATACATATTATGATGTTTTATTTTATATTTTTTACAGCAATTAACTCATAATTTACTTACCTCCAATAAGAAAATTGAAAAGAAACCCAAAAAATAAGGCCAAAACAAAGCAAGTTGAAATGGTATCGTGCGAAAGAGACAAATATATTTTTTGCCGTGACACCTCTGTATACTTTGTGCTTGTGGGTAAAAAGATTAATTTAGAAGAAAAAATATAATATGTTACCCGTATTTTATGAAACCCACCTTTCACGAGCGTACTTTACGAAATTAAAATCTAATGAAAGAGTAAAATGAAATTCCATCCGTATGACAAAATATAATATATGTGTATGTATAAAACAAGCGTTGTACGCGGCAACGCGTTATAGGCTAATGACAAATAAAGTTGAAATAATTGTTCAATTCACAATCAAGTTGTGAACAGATCTTTTTGCAGCAAGTCATAAGTTTATGTTCTCAATGACAAATATCAAAAGATAAAAAAAATCAAATACTTAATATTAAATTAATTAAACAAGTAAAAAAAACAACAAATTATTTTTCTGAATTTCAAATTCTTTTATTTTTTTTATTCCACATAGGAACTGTTTTTCATAGACTATCATATACTGGAATCAGCTGATTTTAGCAATATAGCGGAGGCAAATAGAAAAAATAAACAAAAGAAAATGTATAATGGACCACGGGAGATTTAAAAGACGGACAAATATATAAAGATATATTTCCATCTCTTTTCACCTTATAATTAATGCTTTTCAAATGTAAAAAACAAATTGCATTAAAGTCAAACACCTTCTTGCTTTTTCGAACTCATCTTAATTACCGGAATTTTGATAATTATTCTGATACAAAAAGATATTTTATAAAGAATTCTTGGTTAAAAGCAATTACTATTTAGTCCCATGAATAAAATTTCATACAATTATGCATTTTCATATGGAACTTCAAAAAATATGTGTTGGATACAAAAAACGGGTTTTACTGTACATGTAAAGTTAAAAAAGTTGTTTGTGGCGTTGATAGTGTATTGAAAAGTGTTTATAATGAAAAACAATTAAGAAATTTTTAAAAAACAAATCCAACACACTTTTAATTAGTATCTAAGCAAATATTTAATAAAATAGGGTTGTTTTCCTTTTAATTTTCTTTTTTTTCAATTCTTCACATACAATTTCTTCAATGTTTGCATTTTTTGCTGTTTTTTTTTTTTTCAAACGAGCGATGAAAATAATCATACAGCTCATCTCACACACTCATTGATTTTTTAAAAGATTTTATTTTTCTCTTTGTTGTAAAATTTTACCTAATGGCGGAATTTAAAAAATGGTAACAAAAATGTAAACAAAACCATACGGTTCAAATTTACTTTTTTGACAGATCTTATCTGGTTATCTGTGCTGTTTTTAATAAAATTTTATTTTTTGTTTTGGTCTGTATGTGATTTCAGTGTTCAGTCGACTTTTCGACTTTTTGCATTTAGTTAAAAGTCGACTTTTCGACCTTTTTTAATTTTTTTGATACCCGTTAATAAAACAACCTTTTGATAAAACAGCAAACCCTAACAGCTGTTTTTGATTGTTGTGTGGTGAGTTTCTGTAAAAACGTAAACAAATGAAACAAAAACAAATTACTAGACATATTTATTTTGTGCTAAGAAAAATTCTGTGCTAAGAAAAATTTATGTATTTTAATAATGTTTTATAGCCAGTGCAAGTGTTCTTGGTGTACATCATCTACCCCAATAATAATCCCGGTTTCTTTAGAATCAAATATTTTTAAGACGGCCTTATATAATGTGCAATTCTATATTCCATGACTGGTTGATAGAGTCACGGAATCCATCGGAGATCAACCTAAAAAATGAAAAAGGGGTGGCTTTAACTTCTTGTTCCGTTTATATGGGGCAAGATTCGAGCCTCATCGTATTAGTTCGCCAGATACCTCATTTGTGTATATTGCAGGGTCCTGGTACCTAACACAGCCTTATTGTAAACAGTCTCATAATAACACTTAGATCTTTTCTTCATTCTACGACTATGCAAGAATACAGCTATGACATATTAATGCTTTAAGTACTGCATGACTATCAACCTAAAATCTTACAAGAGACCGGCGAACAATGTGATTCCCTATTTCAAGATCGCTAAATCACCACTTGGAAGACACAACCCATCAGGGAGTCAAGGAACGTATTACACCGTGTGTAACACATCGAAATATTGGTCTAATGTCCATAAAAGTATATGCTGGGATCTTATTACAGTCTAAGACCATCTAGCCAATATTTGCCAAAATAATTTTAGTTGATGGAGTTTTTTATTGAAAATGGACAATATCGGTATACGATAAACTCATCAGGGAGTCATCGTTTGTAACACATCGAAATATTGGTCTAAAATCCATAAAAGTATATACTGGGATCTTAGCCAATATTTGCCAAAATATATTTAGTTGACGGAGTTTATTATTGAGCTTCAATATTCCAGTATAGCGAGAAAAACGACAAAAACAAGTTTTATAGGAACTAAAATCTTTTTTGCCAAATTTTATGAGGATCGCTTCATATTTGACACTGCTCTCATATAAGGTTCCTCTCAGGAAATTATTTTACAAGATTTATAAGATCCAAAACATTTCTGGGTTGGTCCAAAATTGACCCTACCCCCATATAAGTTCCCCTTCAGAAAAAGATATTAACTACAATAATTGTAATAGAAATACCAATATAGTAAAGAAATTCCACATAAAAAATAAGTCAAAACCGTTTTGTCAAATTTAAGGGGATCGGTCCATAATTTAACCTATCCCCGATATAAGGTCCACCTCGGGAAATTAATGCCGCTCATAACTAGCTTAAAAATGTATATCTATAAAATTCGACATGACAACTTTTATATGAAACAAAATTTATCTGTTGAATTTTGTAAGGGTCGGTCCACAGTTGACCCTAGCTAAAATCGCTAACAGATTATGCCATCCGATTTCTACACTTCCAACTTAAAGTTCTATATATGTTTTTATCGTGCACAAGATCGTCCGATAGCAGTTATATATAATTTTCTATATATGGCTATAGTCATATTTTTTGTAAAAAAAAGTTTGTTGCTGTACTCACACCCTAGAACGATGAAATACGGAAAAAAATGTATGCCATCCGATTTTTACACTTTCAACTTAAAGTTCTATATAGGTTTATATCGTGCACAAGATCGTCCGATAGCAGTTATATATAATTTTATATATACGGCCATAGTAACATTTTTTAAAAAAAAAGTTTGTTGTTGTAGTACACACCCTAGAACGATGAAATCTACAAAAAAATGTATGCCATCCGATTTCTACACTTCCAACTTAAAGTTCTATATAGGTTTTTATCGTGCACAAGATCGTCCGATAGCAGTTATATATCATTTTATATATACGGCCATAGTAACATTTTTTGTAAAAAAAAAGTTTGTTGTTGTAGTACACAACCTAGAACGATAACATCTACAAAAAAATGTATGCCGTCCGATTTCTACACCTCCAACTTAAAGTTCTATATAGGTTTTTATCGTGCACAAGATTGTCCGATAGCAGTTATATATCATTTTATATATACGGCCATAGTAACATTTTTTGTTAAAAAAAAGTTTGTTGTTGTAGTACACACCCTAGAACGATGAAATCCGGAAAAAAATGTATGCCATCCGATTTCTACACTTCCAACTTAAAGTTCTATATAGGTTTTTATCGTGCACAAGATCGTCCGATAGCAGTTATATATCATTTTATATATACTGCCATAGTAACATTTCTTGTAAAAAAAAAGTTTGTTGTTGTATTACACACCCTAGAACGATGAAATCCGGAAAAAAATGTATGCCATCCGATTTCTACACTTCCAACTTAAAGTTTGTTTGTTGTAACATTTTTTGTAAAAAAAAAGTTTGTTGTTGCAGTACACACCCTAGAACGATGAAATCCGGAAAAAAATGTATGCCGTCCGATTTCTACACTTCCAACTTAAAGTTCTGTATAGGTTTTTATCGTGCACAAGATCGTCCGATAGCAGTTATATATCATTTTATATATACGACCATAGCAACATTTTTTGTAAAAAAAAAGTTTGTTGTTGTAGTACTCACCCTAGAACGATGAAATCCGGAAAAAAATGTATGCCATCCGATTTCTACACTTCCAACTTAAAGTTCTATATAGGTCTTTATCGTGCACAAGATCCTCCGATAGCAGTTATATATCATTTTATATATACGGCCATAGTAACATTTTTTGTAAAAAAAAGTTTGTTGTTGTAGTACACACCCTAGAACGATGAAATCCGGAAAAAATGTATGCCATCCGATTTCTACACTTCCAACTTAAAGTTCTATATAGGTTTTTATCGTGCACAAGATCGTCCGATAGCAGTTATATATCATTTTATATATACGACCATAGTAACATTTTTTGTAAAAAAAAAGTTTGTTGTTGCAGTACACACCCTAGAACGATGAAATCCGGAAAAAAATGTATGCCATCCGATTTCTACACTTCCAACTTAATGTTCTATATAGGTTTTTATCG